TAGATGAATGAGATTGTTAATGAAGGAACTATTAGTTATGAGATTATTAATGAGAGGATTAAGTAAAATTGTAATTATTTTGATGATATTTGTTAATATAAGAATTGTTAAATTATTTTTATATAAAATAACGATAGATTGTTAATTTTTCAAAACTGCCATGGTTTTTTCAGAAACCATGGGTTTTACTAGCCAAAAAAACAAAATTACACTTGACTAGGTGGATTGCCCGGACGACCAGTTCACTTTAATCTGATCAATTTCATTTTTGAATACCATCTCCTTGCCTAGACTCGTAGTCTACTCCTCCAAAGCCTTTCACAATCTGAACGGACTCCTAGTCCCATTGCAAACAAACGTGAGATTGGTGCTCCAGTTCAGGCTAATAGTCTAGCCCAAATGTCTGCCTCAAATAACAAACGGACCCTTAGATTGATTCACAGTACTAATGAGCTTAGTCAATGCTTATTGCCAATTAAAATCGGTCTTGTGAGTTTTTTATACCAAATATTTTAGCAACAATTGTTGTATTAGAGGTTTAAGATAGATCATACAATTGCAAGTCTATCTTTTTGTGACTAAGAGTTGTTTGGGGTAAATTTTTTTTACTGAGTTAAGTTATCTATAACGTTTATTTATATCTTTCATCACATTTAAATTTGATAAAAATTTGATAAAAACAATGCTTCAATCCTGTCATCAAGGTAATATTAAGTGAAGGAAGTAGTAGATTTTTTTATCAAAACGAGAGAGCGTTTAATTTTTCATCAAATTTCACAAGTGACCGTTAGCGGACGATTGGATAAGCGATCAGATTTTGATCAAAACTTACTTTACACCATATGACCAACTGAACAACTAAGCAAAATTGATGAAAATGATTGGAATGCATCATATCAAAATAAATTTTTTGTCAAATTTTTATTCAAATTTAATAAAAATTTGATGAATCCTACTTAGTTAAATTCCAACACTTGAGTGCCAGGCAAATGTCTTTTCGAAAGCCTCTGTTTGGCAAGTTAAGGTTGGGTTTTTTTTTGGTTAAAATAATCACAAAAAATAAAATAGATTTTTTAATTCAATAAGATCAAATATTATATCTAACCCATAATCAGTACATTTTTTCTCTCATAAAAAGTCAAAAAAAAAATATTTTCAAACGAGACTTTTTAATTCCAAACTAAAATAATTAAAAAACCAAAAAACTAACCCATTTGTCAAAAGGACCGAAATTTGAACCTATACCTCACTTTTTTAAGTTCTAAGACCATCTCTAACGGTTCATCAAACCTGGTATCAAATTTAAAATTTGATGAAAAAGCCAGTTTTTTGAGCTCCAACGGTTTCACCAAATCGATATCAAATCAAGAATTCAGCAAATCTTTTACCAAAATGAGAACAGGCGAAGCATTTCACCAAATCACTGTTCCTGACCGTTGGGAGAGATCAACCGGTTGCCCGGCCGGTTGACCAACCGGTCGATCGCCTAAAGGTTCAAACGGTTCGGAGAAAAGGTTCAAACAGTAAAAAAAAAAAAAAAAATTTTGCCTAACCGGTCGACCACTAAAAGGTTCAAAAAGTTCAAAAAAAAAAAAAATTCGCTTAACCGGTCGACCAACCAGTCGACCAACCGGTTGTCTCCGGCACAAATTTGATAAAAGTACACTGTTGGAGTGAGTGGTATCAAATTTGATAAAATTAATCATTTTTTACTCAAATTTAATAAAAAATTTGATTCACCGTTGGAGATGCTTTCATATTACTTGATCTACTGCCCGAATCCGAAACAATTATTCACAGCCTAAAATAAATGAGTTTGGCTTATGAGGCCACGTGAACCCTATTATGATAATCTACTCTATTAATCTTATAGGTTGTTGACTTTTTATGGGTAGGTTATTCATATAAAATATTTAATAATTGTATTTATATTTTTTCTCAAAAAATGGAAATTAATTTTGAAAAAAAATATATTTTATTAAGACAAATGTATTGAAAAAACATGATTATAATTATATTATCGATTTAATTTTTTATAAACAATTTATACATAAAAGCTTACAAATAAATAAATTAAAGAAAAATTATTTAAAAAAAAAATTAAGGGTAACTATTGTAACAAAATAAATGTTAAATTTTTTATTTTATCAATTTAAATCTTAATATTTTGATTTGTTTTCAATTTAAGCAATTAAGTTATTTTTGTTAAGTAAAATAAATAGAAAATCACTAATAGTTTGGTAATTAAAACCATGTAAGTATATATAAAATATCTAAAATATTCTTTTTATTGAGTTTAACAACTAAATTATGTTAGGTTTTTGTAATTGACAATCTCGTTTGACAAAACTTCGTTAAGTTGTAATTTTATTCGCTCTTATGTGTTCAGTGAGGATGAAAGTGTTCATATGCGAATCCAACTCAAATTGTGCTATGCAGATAAATTTGTGATTTTAATCCTATCATATTTGCCACTTCGCTGACTAAATACGTGGATCAAGTTGCTGGGTTAGCTCACGGGGGCCAGGGGGCAGTGCCCCATGACAAACTTCTCAATCGAAGTTGTTTGACCGCTTGAGTGGTCATTTGTGCGCTCGAACGAAGAAAAAGATCATCCAGTACTTTTGTAGAGCGTCTGAATTTTTGGGAAGAAAGTTTTACCACTCAAACCATGAAAGTTGTGCTTAAGTGGTGAAAGTTGCGCTTAAACGGTCAGCTTATATATTTCACATCACCTTTAGTCATACCACTCGAGCGGTGAAATGTGTGTTTGACCGGTTTTCACAATCCAAATTTCAATAAAGTGTGCTATTTGCTCGTTGTAGGGTTTAAGTGGTCCAGTTTTTCAAAGAGGAAGAACAAACAAAAGTGTTCTGTATTGGAGGGTACTTTATTAGTGTTTCCTTGATGATTTAAGAGTGATTAATGGGTCCATGAACTTTATATCAATGTTCTTAACAGTTTTGTTTATTTTCTTTTATTCACAAAAGAGAGAGTTGTTTTTTGATGGATTCCGAGGAACTTGGGCTTGACGTTTTGGTGGATTCCGGAGTGGCTTATTGTCATGAATTCGACATTAGCGTTGTAGATTCAACGTTGGGTAAGGTAATTCTAAGGTGAAGACAGTGGTGGAAGAGGCACATTGGGGTCAGTTCAATTTGAGTGTGGATTTGCTAGGTAATTGAGAGTATACTTATGTAATTCATTTTTTGTCTTCTTAGTAGATTGTTTTGTGACTTTGACCTGTGATTTTTTTTTAATCACAATTTCACGTTAAATCGTTGTGTCAATTCATCTTTGATTATTTGATTGAAATTGTTATTTACTGTTTAAAATTGATACATAATCACAAATTAATATCTCTGAGATTTTCAGATTTTTAATTATATTTGAGAGGGAGATTAATGATCTGAATTTGGGAAGGTGGAATTAGTCGGACAGATTGGGCCGAACGAGGTTGGGCCGAGGTATTTGGCTCCGAGATTGGGCCGTGATCTTGCTCGGTAACGGCAAAGGCCTTGTGGAATCGAGCTACCTGATTTCGTTGGCACGGAGACCGGGCAGGTTAAGGTTCAGTCAGGTAAGGGTTCCACAGCTCGCGCGTTGCTCGGTTGTAATACACGCGCCCTCAGCCCGGCACGACCAAGTTGATCAACCTTCATCTCGGCTTCGTTGGAATGCAGTCGAGCACGGCTATAAATGAGCCCGGTTGGAGGAGCATTACGCCGTCAAGTGCGCTTGGGCTTGAAGTGGAGTATGGCCATTGGTAGCCGAGATAATGTTGCCCGGCTGCCGAGCTCCCAGTAGAGTGGGCTGGCAATTGGGGTAGGTGATGCTCAGCAAGATTTGTGCTGACAGATGGGATAGCAGAATCACGTGTCGAGAGATCACTGGGAGTAGATTTAGGGCGCAGAAGGTATATAAGCAAGTCTGCGCCCCCATGCTGGACATAGGACATTTTTTGTGAGATAAACACTAAACACAATTCTCTCCATTCTCTCTATCTATCCCCTGGTGTGTGTTCTAATTTGATCGTCGGAGGGGTTTTCCGGCCACACATCGCCGGGTAGCTCACCGCCTTTGTGTACGCAGGTGATCGGATAAAAGCGAAGCTTGGAAGAAGGGAGTACGAGCTTGCCTGAATATTTGCTCCCCGTATATATATATATATATATATTCAATTTTACCTAAAAAATAGATAAATAATTTAAAATCAGAAAATCAAAATTTAAAAAAAATCAAGATCTTATTTACAAGGGTTAGAGTTGATTTTTTTTTTAAATTAAATTATCGAAACTGAGCTTGAGTGAGAAATTATTTATTAGGTTAGGAAGATCACATGTTCATATGACAAATCAATGAAATATTATAATTTGTCCACTATTTTCTTAATATTAGGGCCATGTATTCATTTAGGACTTTTTTGAGAAGGTAAAAAAAAAAATACACTTATTAACTTATTTATGTCACATTCTCACTCAATTTTTTTTTTGCATGTTTTTTAAAAAAGAAAAATAATTTCTCAAAAGAGCCTTAGTCCTTTACTATTAATTGGACAAACAACCAAAGCGAAATTTTTTAAAGAGTTGTTTGGGAATAACCTAAAATAATTTATTTATTATCCTTTGGTTACATTATTTTTTATGTTGATCATATCATTTTTTTTATTTTTCTACATATTTTTTTATAAAAAAAATAAAAAAATCACTTAACCTATTTCCAAACAACCCCTAGAGATAGGACATTTAGATTACGAATGTGAATAGGATAGAAGCTGTGATAAATAAAATAAAATAAATAAATAAATAAAGTTGGGTTCCGGTCGAGCGCATAAAATAAAATAAAAAAAATTGAGTTGGGTTCCGGTCGAGCGCGCCCGAATTGAATCCCCAAATATTACATCAAACCCAAAGTACAATAGGGCCTACAATGGATGGCAATTTAGTAAATTCACTTACCACCATCCTCTGAATAAAATAAAATAAAAATAAAATCAAAATAAAATAACTCCATTCAGAGAGAGAGAGAGAAAGCAAAGGAATAGATAGAAGAAGAAGAATAAGAGAGAGAAACCCAAATCTAACCCAAGAACAAGAAGTTTAACAATTTCACCAAAAGGAGATGGTGGTAGCCCTCAAATTCCTTTAAAAGTCTCAAAAATCTACCATCTCCGATCTCCGATCATCACCACCGATCGCCGCCACAAATGGTCATGCGACGCGGCAGAGCTCCGGCGACCACGGCGGCGGAAGACAAGGGGATTAGGTACAGGGGCGTTCGGAAGAGGCCATGGGGCCGATTCGCCGCCGAGATCAGAGACCCATGGAAGAAAGCCCGAGTCTGGCTCGGTACTTTCGACTCGGCGGAGGACGCCGCTCGAGCCTACGACGCCGCCGCCATCAACCTCCGCGGACCCAAAGCCAAGACGAATTTTCCCGTTGTACCCGTCTCGATCCCCGATATTACCGATTTGAACCACAACAACAACCCTAATCCTGTTGGAGACCATCGTCGTCATCATCAATTTCAGCAATTCCATTCTCGGCCCACCACCAGCAGCCTCAGCAGCACCGTCGAGTCCTCCAGTGGCCCCAGACTCTCGATTCCTCAGCCGCCGCCGCCGAGAATCAACCGCCAGTTCAAACCGCCGGTTCCGCCGGAGGATTGTCACAGCGATTGCGATTCATCGTCGTCTGTGATCGACAATTGCGATGCCGATCTCACTTCTTCGTTCCACAAACCTCTCTTACCTTTCGATCTCAATCTCTTGCCTCCTCTTGAAGACGTCGATATTTCCAATGCTGATGATTTACACGCCACGGCCTTGTGTCTTTGATTTTTTTTTTAAATTTTTTATATATATTATTTTAAATTTTCTTTTCAATTTTTCTCTTGAAAGAATATGAAAGAAAAAGAAAATTATGACCCTGGTGGTTGGATTCTTTTTCTTTGGTTAGATCATATGTAGATTAGTGTACGGTGGTGCCATTATGCGATCTGGATTTTTCTTCAACTGTTGTGGGTTTTGCTAGATCGTATTTACAGAAAATTGTTATCTGTACCCAGAGAAAATTGGATCTGATCTTGAGATATTTCTCTCTTGATCTGATACTCCTCTTTCATTTTGTATAAAATTACAAATAAAAGATCAAATTGTTTCACACTGTTTTGATTCATCTTGTATGCAAAAATGAGATCTTGGAGGTTGAAAATGGTTTGATTTGAGTTGGGTTTTGCTTTGCATTTCATATGGGCATGATATGAGTATTGTTTTTTTAGGAATTTTGAGACTTTTTCTTAGTTGTGGTTGTTGATGTTGAAGTTCATGTTTTTTTGTGTTAATTAATTTGATCTTGTAAGTGGGATTAGAAGAAACTTTAGTTTGGGGGGTTGTGGAGCAGAGAAATGTGGCCCCAAGCATGAATGAGATAATAGAAATGTGGAGGAGGTGGTGATCATGGATGATATTGTTTGGTTTTTGGGGTTTCTGAGAGAGAATCATTTATTGCACATTTGAATTGTGGATTTCTTTTGCACACTAACTGTATCCTTTTTCCCTTCTCTCACTCATTTTTTTACATCATTCTATTCAAACTATGCATGGTTCAGTGTCGTGTAAAGGTTTTGCTTAGTGCAATTAGATCATAAAGGTTAGCAGAGTCTGTTTTCGGCATTGCATTTCATATGGGCATGCTTTGAGTATTGGCCTTTTAGGAATTTGGAGACTTTTTCTAAGTTGTGATTGTTCTTGATGTGAAAGTTTATGTTTTTTTTTCTGTTAATTAATTTGATCTTGTAAGAGGGATTAGAAGAAACTTTATGGGTTGTTTTTGTTGTGGAGCAGAGAAATGTGGCCCAAGCATGAATGTGATAATGGAAATGTGGAGGTGGTGATCATGGATGATGTTGTTTGGTTTAAGGGTTTCTGAAGAACCATTTATTGCACATGTGAATTGCGGATTTCATTTGCATACTGTATCCTTTTTCCTCTAAACCAGTGAAATCTTGTCTCCCTCATTTTTTTGCATCATTCTATTCAAACTATGCATGGTTCAGTGTCATATGTAAAGGTTATGCTTAGCAAATCCTTCTTGATGGTTTTTGGCACAAAACCTATAGGGAACATGTATTATGTGACAATTTCTGTTGGATGAGACTCAAGGATTCTTTAATTTTGTTTAGAGGGTTTTATTATTATTATTTGACCTAGTAAGATGTTAGTTAGTAGTTAGATTGTAACGCATCTCAATAGTTTTCTACAGACACTTGATACCCTCTGAAAATCACTTGGCTAATATGAGTCTTGAGAGGTTTTTTATTGTTTAACTTTTTTTTAATTACAAATATAAAAAATATTACATCAAATTGGATAATTATAATCCATCAATAGTGTATAGGAAATAAAATCAATACAACACAAATCATGTATAATGTGGAAGAAAAAATCAATTTTAACATTTAACAAAGATTGCAATCTTAAAATTGTCTGCTTATTTCACAAATTATCGCGGATTCCTTTTTTTTGCCCTTACCTCAGCAATATGTTGTGTCCTTCCATTTTGTGCTTCTTCCATAAAAATATTATTTATTTGTAGAAATGCAAAGATTGTTGCTCTCTTTTGAATCTAGACAGAGCCAGGGCAAAGCAAGGGCCTGTAGAGTGCAGAGTCTTATTTCAAAGAACCACCTTAAACATTTCTGCTAATTTTAATATGTATTATGAAGGATATACTAAAATTTGTCCATTATTGCCACTAATTAAATAATTCATTATCGTCCATGTTATGGCAACAATTTCCTATCTAGTTCAAGTTCCGAATATTCTTGTTATGCTCTTTTTACTTGTGTTCATGTCATGTGGTTGATTGCGTTGGATTAACGGTATTACTATTAAAATTGTTAAAATTTTGGAATTCAACTTGTCTTTAAAGTTTGATTTTCATTAGAGTGAACGATTTTATGGTTGTTATAATGGTTATTGGACTTGTTATATGTCTCATGGTTATATAGCATTCACTTTTTATTTATTTTTCCATACTTAATGTCTAATTTGATATAATTCTAATCTAATAATATATGACCATGTATATCTCACCTTAGTTTCACATGTCAAGTCCTTCAATGTGGAAGGGGACTATCTAGATGATTTTGAACATTAGCCAAATCTCTTTGGAGTTTTAGGTCGAAGCATGAGATTAGGCATTGGAACCATCATCTTATTGGAACCATCATTTTGTAAAGCTTTTATGTGGTAGGCATGTGATTTCATCATATCTGTTTTAAAAAAATAAAAAATAAAAGATAAGTATAATTTTAAAATATATATTTATTTTTTGTAAGACAGATTTGATAAGTTTATATGATTATGATGATTAGATTAATATGATTTGTTCAATGAATAATTCGCTACTCATCATAGCCAACAAGGCTAATTAGACGAGGGTAGTTCTTGAAAACCAACTAAATCAAATCGTAAGTCTGCTTGTTGCAACATGGTTGGACTTTCATGTGAAAGGGCCTGATTGGCCTTGTCCTCTGTTTCTTTTACTTTAGTTGAATAAAAAAACCTACCTAGACAAGACATGATTTCTCCGAGTTTGGAGAGAATCCAAATCCATTCGGAACACTGTGACAAATATTGAGCTACACATATATTAAAATTAAAACTGGAGATATTGCACATTCTACTTATTTTATTCCTAATGTAATGTGTTTAGGATTTTTGTTATTCTTATCTTCACAAATTTAGGGGTTGTTTTGGGTGTTCTAAATAAATACATTTTTTATTTTTTTAGACTAAAAAGTTGAGGTTGAAAATATGAATGTTTGGGTTAACTTTTTGATTTTTATGAAAAAATATGTATTAAAAAATTGTATAAATTAATGTGTAGGAAAAAATTAATATTGAGACAGCCGTAATTGTTGACTTTTGATGAATAGTGATAATTTTTTAACTTTTTGAATAACTTTTTAATTTTTTTAAAACTTTTCAAACTTGGTCTTAGTTGTTGCATTGGCAGCCTAAAAGTTAGGCTAGGTTTCCTCATTTTTATCAACTGGGCCCCTTTTTTGATCTAGCCCATTACATTTTATGAGGCCGATGTTATTATATTTTGGGACAGTTACGGGAGGATTTTATTGACCTAATTTATTTACTTATAAATCCTATTAATTTTTTTTAGTTATCAATATGTCCAAAATGTCCTTTTTCACCTTTTTTAACACCTCAACCATAAGACCATTGCGACAAGCGCACCGACAACAACTACCTCCAGTTGCCGACTACTGTCTCCGACCATCATCTCTAGCATCCAACGAGCATCTCTGCCCATCATCTCTAACTATCGGAGACCACCCTTGAACCTCTAGTAATATTTTCCGACGACATTTGTTTGGCTATTTCTTTGCAAAAATAATGTCCATGTCCATCTCCATCACATCACTACCGCCACTATCTCCTTAGATTTGATGGCAAAAAAAGAAAGTAAGAGAAAGAAGAAGAAGAAGAAGAAGAAGAAGAAGGGTATAGAGGAATAAGATGAAGAAAAAAAGAAAAAAGAAATGCCTTATTAGAAAACATTTGTCTTAAGTGTTGTAGATCAACATAATCATTCCATTTGCCATCTACTCTCTGTCCCCTTTCAGTGATAAATTTATCATTGGTGAATTTGTTAAAAAAATTACAAATCAAAGATTTGATTTTAAAGAAAATAATACATTTAGTGATAAATTTATCACTTTAGTGATTTGTAAAAAGGAAAATGAGTTGGATCCCCTCAAGGAGGCACCCCCTTTGACCCCCTCTCTTATTGATTAGCCAGTTTTTCTTTTTTCTTTTTCTTTTTTTTCCTTCTCTTCCAATCACCACCCGCCACGTGTGTGTGGGGATGGTGGGGGTGGTGGTTGGAGGGAGTCTCAATCACTTCCCTTATAAAAAATTACAAACGGCAATTCACTCATTCACATTCACACTTACACTCACAAGATAGTCAAGAATCAAAAGCACATTCAATGATAAATTTAGCGTGTTAGCACCTCATAAATTATTTTGGACTCCCAAATTTTTATCTTTTTTTCATTACAATAATAACTTCAAATAAAGTTACTACAATTGTCATCATTAATTTTGGGACACCCCATCTCACAATTAACAAAAATGCTAGAGGCCTCAAAAAATCTACAAAATGTCTCACATGGGTGTGGGACCCACATTGTGTGGATCCCACACTAAGAGAATCTCCAATTGTATTTGCTATAATACCATTCAGTGTGTTTGGTTTAAGTTTTTTGAAAACTCAGTTTTTTGGTTTTTGTGTTTTTTTATTTTTAGTGAATATTTTTAAAATTTTTAATATTTTTTTTTACTTTTTTAGATTCACCTTACTTAAATGTATTTAAAAAGTAAAAAATTTGTAAAAAAATATTTTAAAATTTTAATAAATACATAAAAATACAAAAAATGTATTGAATTCTTGTAATTTTTTTTTGTATTTTTGGTATTTAGAGAATTTTTAAAAGGTTTTTTTCACAAATTTTTTACTTTTTAGATATATTTATGTTAGGTATGTCTAAAAAGTAAAAAAAACTACTTAAAATATTTAAAAAATTCAGTAAAAACAAAGAAACACGGAAAATAAAAAAGTAGAATTTTCTAAAAAGTATTTTTGAAAAAACACAACCAAGCATAAATAGTAGTAATTTGTCAAATTATAGTAATGGTGCTCCAATGGTACACATGCTATTTTAGTAAATCTCAACCAACTTTCCCTCCAAATTTGTAAATATTGTTTGGATATAAATTTTTTAGTATATATATATATATTTTTTGTGACCTTTTTTTAACTATTTGTAAAAAAAAAATTATATATTTTCATTATACCGGACTAGACAAATATAATAAATGAAAAAGAATTGAAAAAATTAAAAAAAAATAAAATAAATATAATTCAACCTACCAAAAATCTATTGTAATGGCAAATTTTTTGTTCCACTGTGTTTTTTATTTTTATTTTTTATATTATTGTTCCATTTCTGGTATATTATTGTTCCACTGTGTTTATTTCTTTCATGAAAATTTTGGAGCCAAATTCTGTTTATTTGGATGATGTGGCAAGTTTGGCAATTGCCAAACTTGATGCCAAATTTGAAAGATGAAATGGCATTTGTCAAATTTGGCAGGAGTTATAGCAGCCCATTAGAGCAATATTTTTTAGAACTCTTGTCAAATTTTGACAATTGCAGCTCAAATAGCTTGCCATTGGAGATGCTCTAATTTAAGACATTAGGCAAAAATTTTGGTAGAATTTTTGGGGTCTCTAGCATTACTCCACAATTAAACCTACGCACCCATTACATTATGAATTAGGGTTTATGAAAGCACTCACCTCCATAACCACACATCCATCTTTCCCAAATCCCACCTTCAAAACCTGCCTACTCTCAAAACCTGAAAAATCCTTTGGCGGTAATATTCTGGCGGTAACGGTGGCAACCATTTGATTACCTACACTTTTTCGGCTATGACATTGAGTGGAAATTTTTCTAACAACCACAACACCACAAGACGAGAGGAGTGCAACAATAAAAACTTAGAGGAGGTCCATAGCTTTGATGTTGTTCTTAACTCAAAGGAAATTGGCCTTATAAGGGTAAGTTTCTTGAAAAAAGTGACAAAAATAATAAAATATGTTCGTCATTTTTTCAGGACTGAACTCCTAAACATATGACTAAAATTCGGGAACACAGGCCTGAACATTATTTATTTGTTCGGGAATCGGTAATTGAACATTGATTTTGAAATTTTTGTGATATGAGATGAGTCTAGAATGAAGAAAACTCAAAGAACTAAACTGTTTTAAGAATTGGGAATCGAAAATTTTAATCTCCGAGAAGTGATTGTATGATAGGTTAAGATAAGTAAGGTTGGTGACAACCATAGACAACTTTTGTATTGGAACATTCCCTGAAAGATTATTGTGGCTCAAATCAAGAGCTTGGATTTGAGAACAATGAAAAATATCATATGGGAAGTTAGTTAAATCGACAGAGACAATATTCTTCTTTTTCTTCGTGGGTTTTGAAAATGATGAGACTGTTCTTCTTCTTAGTGGGTTTTGTTAGGGATTTTTGGAAGGGAGGTTTTTTTGGGGTAGTAAGGTGTGCATTCAATGGGTGGAATGTTTAAGGATAATTTTGGTATTATTCGGGGGAAGAAAATAAATTTTAAGGGTTTCAAAATTTATAAGTGGGGGTCCAGAGAAATGGGAGGTTCAAAATAATTTATGGGGTGGTTAATAGCACCACTCTAAATTTATCACTGATAAACACATTCAAAGATAAAATTATCACTAATATATTAAATCCTTATTTGCAATAGATTTAGTTTAAGAGAAATAAATAGGGAAAAAGGGAGATAGAGATAAAGAGAGAAACACGAGATCTGGAGAATAACAGTTGCTTGGAGTCATTTGGAGTTGATTTCACCATAGAAAACAACTAGATCGGTGTAGATCTAGAATAGTTGAGATCGCCGGATAAAATGGTAGATAACAAGTAATAAGGACAATACATCCGTGACGGTGGAATGTAGATCGGTAACAGTATGGAATGTAAATTTGTGACAATGGAATGTCAATTGGCGACGATGAAGGTCGATGGTGAACAATGGTGGTAGATCAGAGATGGCGAAGAAACGATGGTGGTAGGTGGCCGACGAAGGTGGTGGTGGTCAATGTTCGATAGATGACAATGGCAGCGATGGTCGACGATGGTAGCAATGGTGGTGGCAGTGTGAGGCTCTTGGAGAAACGTTAGAGAGAGAGAGAGAGAGAGAGAGAGAGGATAAGAAGATGAGGGCAAAATAAGGATACTAGGGTTTATTGGTGCATACAAAATATCTACAGGACTTATAGATATTTAAGTTCAATTAATGGGATTGGACAGTAATAATCCATTGTATTTTTTACCTACCACAATCTTATTAGGCTTATAGTTCAATGAATTTTATTTTTTTCCAGTTGATAAATCAGACTAGTTTACTGATATAATGTTGGAATTCATCCTTTGATGATTGTCTAAAAGGTGGAGTTCTTTTCCAATGCTAAGGCATATGAGATGGGATTTTGTGAACTTGAACCTAATTGCATGAATTTTGTAGGATAGCAGTCGATGAATTTAATCTTGAGAACTTCACAAAAAATGAGCTTTTAACTCTATATCTGTCTTTTGTTGTGTTCTTGTTTTTGATGTGTAAGAACATTATGTGATTTACTTTACTTTATCTATAGCAAAATGTTATAGGTTTTAAATTTTCTACCACATGAATGATTAAATGTCTTACATAGATGTGAGGTCCATAAAAGTGTGGACCCTAAGTCCATAAGAAGTGATCCCAATTTTTTCATTGAGTCCAAGTAGAAACCAAAGATCTTGAGCGACCGATCCGGCAGAACAACTCAAAAGATAAAGAAGTATCATTAATTTCTTCATGCTCATTCAAAGTTTGAAGTACCATTTGTACAAATAAGAACCCCCTTCGTTATATGATTTCTTCTTCATATAGATAGATAAAGAATCTATGGGGCAATTACTTAGAAGTACATTTTGTGCAACAACCCTTCCTATTTGATAGAAAAGGATTCCATGATCCTGAACCGATCTTACTTGGGATCGAAAATCCCATGTTTGTCTATGAAGAGCGGATCTAATTGTATTAGGCCTCGTTTGGGAACAGGCTATTTCGTTATATGATTTCTTCTTCATATAGATAGATAAAGAATCTATGGGGCAATTACTTAGAAGTACATTTTGTGCAACAACCCTTCCTATTTGATAGAAAAGGATTCCATGATCCTGAACCGATCTTACTTGGGATCGAAAATCCCATGTTTGTTTATGAAGAGCGGATCTAATTGTATTAGTATCTATAATTGATTTCTTCCGTGTAATACTAATTGATATGGCCTCATTGGTAAGTGCTACAAGATCTCGTGCATTGGAATCCATGGTTATGGACCAGGATCCATTAGTATAGAACGTTTTCTTTTCCAAGTGAAATCTCCTAGTATCTGAAAGAGTGAAAAAGTACTTTCGTTGTTGTAGAATAAGAAGCCTTTGTATTTTAGACGTTTGATCATTTATTTGGTAAAAAAAATTGGTGTTCCTAACATTATCTTTATCTATATATCACTTATAACATTCCTCAAAAAGAAGACCCAAAAAAAAAAAAAAAACCCTCTTTATTGACAGCAATCCAAACTGAGTTAGGCAAATTTTGATTATATACAAAAGTCTAACTACACGTGTAAGTATACATCCAAAACCAAAAATCACAATTTTACATAAATATACTGTTTACACATACATTTCGTGGTTCACTCATAAATTCATAAAGTGATTTTTAAAATATAAAAAAAAAATTCAAAATTGTGAAAGAAATAAAAGATTTTTTTTTCTTCATATTGTTTTTATTTATTTATTTATTTATTTTTGCCTAGTAAGGGTTTGTTTATCAAATTTGAGAAAACTATAAGATGAACTTGAGAGCAGATCTACCCTAGGGTGTGTTTGGCAATTGATTAATTTAATTAAAAAATTATTAAAAAAATCATATAAAAATTTAAAATTTCTTTCTATTTTTTCTTTCTTTTCACGTATTTTTTTTTTGGTAAAAAGTTAAAAGAATTTTTTGAACACTTATATAATTTTTTTTTTTTAAATCTTATACTTTAACAAAAAAATTATTTCCCAAACCAATCCTAGAATTTTCCAAATACAAATCCAAAAAGATTAGATGAACGGCCTAGATCATCTGTTTATTCTATACCCCAAACGTGGACGGCCCAAAATCAATTTACAAACTTTACCTATTCCCCAAGTTAAAATTATGCTGTTTGAAGTGAAACTCTTTCCAACCCCAACGAAGAGAAGCAAAGAAAAATAGTTGAAATCGTTTTTCACCGAGAAAATTCTCGTTTGGTTTCCGAGAATCTTGCTTGCTTCCCCGAATCGAAACCGGAAAACTTCAATCGATCAACTGGGTCTGGACTGTACTGAAGTATGCAGCGATTGAGGACCTCAGGGTCTTCAATTATAGGGCAACTGGCTCTGCCTCAGTTGAAGAGAAAAGCTTTGAATTCATGGTCTGCTGTTCAGGACACCTATTATTCAACCAAGGTAATGCCTTTTTATACGCAGATTGATTGTGATTTTCCTCTCTTGGATTTCTTTTTCTTGGGTTTCTCACGTTGTGTGTTTGGAATTGATGTTTAGGATATTTTTGAGGGGCACAAAGTCGTCTTTACAATTGCAACATCTTTAGCATCGATTGCTACAGCTTGGGGTGGTATGTTTTGTTTGATCCTGAATCCCTTGAAATCTTCTCTGTTATGTTTTGTCTAGGTTTTACATTGGTTTGCAACAAAAATTCTCATTAAAATGATTTTGGGTTGTAGTAATTGATATGACCCACATTTTTTATAACACTTATCACAAATGTAAATTTGACATATCTGAATAATGATTTTATAAAATTAAAAAAAAAAATCAATGATTTTAATATTCATTTACTTTGTTTAGGAAAATTTGAAGATGAAATTGAGTCATGCCAATGAGGCCTTAAGTCGGTTTATGTTGCTGTGATACTCTGTTATGCCATGAACAATGAAGCCTGCGCTACTAGTAATTAATAATTAACATTGACATTAACAACCAGAGGGCACACTTGTACTTAAAAGAATTTAATTCGGGCTGACAAATGTGTTCATGTTAGTTAGATGATGAGATTGGGTCACTAGTGGGAAAATCCTTTTTTATCTCTTTCCTGCTGCTTGGATGAGGGTCAGCACAGAGATTCAATAAAAGTGACAATCGTTGTAACTTGTAATAGTGAATGCATGTGCAGTGTATTGCCCTTGGCTTTGATTGTTGAAGAACATAACTGAGTTGTAGATGTCTTTTGCTTCAGTGTGGTAATGTGAAAAAGAGTAAGAATTTTGCTTCTATTTAACTATGACCAGTGGGATGTACCTTTCATGTGTCAGTAATGGTCCAATGTTCTGCTGCTACTATTTACTGGATGTTTGTGATTTTGGTCTGGACATTGAAATTTATGGACCCAAGGCTGCTAAAGAAATCTTCCTCTGCATCATCACTTCAACTTAACAAAGTTGAATCTCAAACATTTGGGGGCAGTTAAAAAACTGATATTTTTCCATTTCACTCTATTTGGGGATTTGGGACTAGCCTTGTGCCGAGGGTTCAAGTCACTGAAATCAGCCTCTTCACAAAAAAATGGGGGTAAAGCTGCCTACCTATTACCTCTCCTAACCTTGCTGTAAGCAAGGGCCTTGTGCACTGTGTGTGTACGACCGTTTATACTCTACTTGTGCATTTATCTTGTTAAATTTAGAGGATGGGTGTATTTGCTCATGTCTAAATTGACAACCTTTTTGGTCTTCTCTTTATCCTGGCGGACCTATAAACTAAACAATATGACATTTTTATAGGCAAGGTGCCTACAATCTTTTCGCTATATGGATGTGGCCAAAGGCCTGTACCTGCAGTTGGTCCTACTATTTTGAGGTGCTGGGAGGGGCCAATTGGATGTAGATTTAACATTTGACAGTATTTAGACAAGGTGACAGCCTGACTGTCCTTTAACTTGAACCTCTGAGCTTGTAATATCACACCAAGTGACGTCCCCATCACAAGATTGAATTAATCATGGTTAAATGTACATCAACTTTCATTAGTTGTACTTTTGGAACGATTGAAGACTTGGAAGTTCATCTTTTTTCCTATTGTCAGTAATTTTAACTCCTCTTAGCCCATAGCAAGCTCTCAACCCATTGTTCCCATTGAGAATTCAACCTTGATTAAAGTTCTGCTGATGTTCAAATTTTACGCAATTCATGAGTAATTATTTTATTTGTGTTTTTGCACTACATAGCCCAACCAGATAGCTTGTACGGCAATGTTATTTTTTGTTCTTTTTGTTTTTCCTTCTGTTGAAGATTTGTACTAGGATCTGATATACCTAATGGGCATTGAATAGAGGTAGACTATCTGATTATTCTGGACTTGCAGATAAGAAATGTAGTATTTTCTAAGTCGTAGTAATGGTAGATTCTTTGGAGTAGGAACTACTAAGAAATTAGTGGTTTTCTTATGACTTTTAGAATTCTACTGGTCCAAATAACAATGCTGAATGGATTTTAGGGAACCTTTCCTTTATTAGGTTGCTGTTGCTGAGTGTAGCCAATATCCATGGTGTTCAGTTTTTTATGAGATGAATAAGGGTCTCATCATGAAATTTTGTTGCTGAATGTGTCTTCATTTTGTTTTTTTGTGTGTTTTTGCACTACATAGCCCAACCAGATAGCTTGTACGGCAATGTTATTTTTTGTTCTTTTTGTTTTTCCTTCTGTTGAAGATTTGTACTAGGATCTGATATACCTAATGGGCATTGAATAGAGGTAGACTATCTGATTATTCTGGACTTGCAGATAAGAAATGTAGTATTTTCTAAGTCGTAGTAATGGTAGATTCTTTGGAGTAGGAACTACTAAGAAATTAGTGGTTTTCTTATGACTTTTAGAATTCTACTGGTCCAAATAACAATGCTGAATGGATTTTAGGGAACCTTTCCTTTATTAGGTTGCTGTTGCTGAGTGTAGCCAATATCCATGGTGTTCAGTTTTTTATGAGATGAATAAGGGTCTCATCATGAAATTTTGTTCATTTTGTTTTTTTGTTTCCTTTTTAGCTAAAGTATGCTTCCTAATTCTTTAACCATGATTGGACTTTTTCTTAAAAAGATGAAATGATGATGCAGGTTACACTTTACGCCACCTTCATGAATCAAAAGTTGAACAAAGGCTTGACTCAATTGAAAAAGCTGTGAGTATTTATGCCATACTATATACACATATTATTCATGTATGTGTTGTATACACATATTTTGACAAGAAAGAATCCAAAGAATTGCCAAGGGTATGCAACCCAAACAGAAGTAGGCTAAACAATGATACAAAAAGGATGAAGACAAAATTATGAGGTTATTCTCTAAGCAATGCTCAAACAAACATCTGTTTGGGATGGACTCCTTGACGCCCACAAAAACAAAGTCGTCAAATAAATTATAAAAATTAAAAAAATAAATAAAAAAACTTTAACTTAGAACCTTGATGTTAGCTCCGTGAAGTGATGTCCTGTTCATTCACAAACAGCAAAGTAGACATAGAGAGCTGCCTTTACTGTTGATTACTGCAGCTCTTTGCTTACTATACCTGTATGATTTCAACACATAATATTTTGATGAATGCACTGAACTTATAACTTTTGAGATTACATTGATCGATAGAAGACTAATAGGGGGAGGGCTGTGTAATTTCAAAAACCATGAGGGATGTTCCTGTAATTGTTAGAAGCTTCAGGGTGGTCTGTGTAACTATCCATTTAATTTTTAATTTTTGTAGTGATAAAAGAATTGCTATGATTGCAGTCTGCTGTGGCATTTCTTTCCAATTCTATGATTATGTTTATGACTATTGATCTTTTTTTTTCTTCTTCTAATTAATTGGATCTAGGGCTGCAAATGAAACGAGTATTTTTCCATTTGCTCGAGCACGGCTCGTTTGCTTATCGAGCTTGAGCTCGGCTCGATAAGTAACTGGGCTCAAGCTCGGCTTGGCTCATTAATATTAATGAAACTCAAGCTTGGTTCGGCTCGATTTTAACATTATTTAACATATAAATAATGTATTTATACTATTATTTAATATATAAATAATATGTTTATTATATAATTTAAATAAAGATAAACTAGCTGAGCTTATTCGAGCCTAATGTTTGAGCTCGAGCTTGACTCGTTTACTAAATGAGCCCAGCGCTTAACAAGTCGAGCCTAGCATGTTCGTGAACAACTCGGTTCCTTTGCAGCCCTAATTGGATCTACGAAATGGTTGAGTTAACTGCTTATGTTTTTTTTATGAGATTCTCGATCTTGTCTAATTGTATCCCTTTGATCTTGTCTAATTGTATCCCCCCTTTTTTTTTTTTTGAAACATCAACAATAAATTTTATTAAGAAAAGCAATAGAAAAGAGAGGACAAGGAGTCCTTATACAGTGAAACAGGTCCAAAAAGAATAAAAACATCACAGTCATCAAAGCTAAAAGAAAACAAGAGAATCCTATCACTAAGGATTGCAAACAGAAGCCCAATAAAAAATCTCATGATATTTTAGTAGGCTTATACATGTATTGTTATTTTTTCATCTCTAAATTCCTATTATTCCAATTTAACAATATTTTGTTATTCTCTCATTATGGCTGTCTAGAATCTGAATCCTGACATCCTTGGCCAAACAAGAATGGTGCTTGTGGAAGATTCTGAAACTATGACAGAAAATGTGTTTCTTGCTTGATGTGCTAAGACTGTTAATTCATATTTATATTGTTCTGCTCCTTATGAGTTGCTGTATCTTTACCTCACATTGCAGAGCAATGTCTTTAGCACATTCCCTTTTCTTTTTGTTTAGAATTTAGCTTAAGTGGATTCGATCACCTGAACTAAACCATACATGAGATTTTTGTTACTTGTTCAAGTATTTTTAGCTTGAACTTGCTTTTCTCTTGATGTGTTTTTTGAATTGTTTTTTGGGTTATATTTAATCACTGCCCTACTCCCGCACCTTTCTCTCTGGTGTTGTTTGTTAGATCTGAGACATGATGGTTTCCTTTTCTGGCAGATGAAGTATGAATATCAAATTGAACGTAATGAATTTAAGAAACTGGTTGGCTCTGGAAGTTACAGCACTGCAACTTGTGTTGCCACTGCTGGAACCACTTTAATTATCGGGTTTGTTTTATCTTTTTTTCTATTCTGTTATTATTACCATGTTTTCGGTCTTTTGATGGTTGAATTCTTTATTATTTATGTACTTTTGAATTTCTTCATTGATGGAGACTATCACTTGTGTTGGAAAGAAGCCAAAGGTAAAATGAAGTTCTATGACTTAATGGGAGTTTAGTACTCATACAATATCCACCCTCTAAAAAAACAAAAAAAGTACTCATACAATAAAGGGTGCTAGTGAACAGCTCTATACCTTTTCTCTCGTGGTTATTATTCATTCTTAATCTATAAAACAACTGTATTTGTAACTTGGATGTTCTTCAAAAATATTGAAAATTTGGGTGGACCACTGTTTTGCTTGCTTAGTGCAATGGGCATATATTCATAATTTTTGTGCGACTTATGTCTAAATTGATTATGTTGCCCAATGCACGCAGTGACGCGTTCTTCGTGGATGCTTCTTTGATTGAATTTGTAATGATAGCAGTTCTCCTTTCTAGGTTGCGTTTGTTTTTTGAGGATGGAAAAGGGGGGAATAGTTCAACATAAGGAGAATTAATACTAGGACAAGGAGTATTGGGACTAATTGTCCTTAATTTTATTGTGGGAATGGAAAAGGGGAGAGTAGTTCAACATAAGGAGAATTAATACTAGGACAAGGAGTATTGGGACTAATTGTCCTCAATTTTATGTTGGGATGAGGTGGAATACGGGGGAACTGCATTAAAAGGTAATCCAGTCCTATACTAAGTTTGGTTTAGGAATAGCATACATGGGTATGGGAACGGTTAAAGGCCTAGTAAACAAAAATGTTTCTAAACCATTTATGTAATTTCAATTATGTCCCTTCTATGTTGAATTACTGAAAAGATAAACTGTATGCTGGTCATTTTGAGCCTTATCCAAACCAAAGACTGGCATAGGTCCTTTATCAATAATACCCCTTCCCATTGTGTTAAATAATGCCGTCTACATAGTATTATTTGTCCAGGAGGACAATTAGTCTCAACCTTATTTAAGGGCCACCAAACTTAGGATAAGGGATGATATGGAACTAATGGTCCAATCCTAGCCCTTCTTACTCCGTACAAATGTGGTTCTAGTGTCAATCTGTGTACTCCCTCTATCTCACACGGTTAGTCCTTTCCCAATTTGGGGATGTCCCAAAATGTTAGTCTTCTCTGGAAAGTCCAAGCATAAAATTTTACAATTTTTGAAAATGGTCCCTCATAAGTGACTGAATATATTTAAGACTGGGAATAAAAGGGGAATCTGAGAAACCAAATGCCTTTTTATTTGAATTTGAATTTCTTTAGTTGTATGTGCCTTTGAAAAATTTGAACTCCCAGAAGGTGCTAACATTGTGGGATGGAGGGAGTACAATTGAGTGTTAATAGAAAAGAGAGGACAAGGAGTCCTTATACAGTGAAACAGGTCCAAAAAGAATAAAAACATCACAGTCATCAAAGCTAAAAGAAAACAAGAGAATCCTATCACTAAGGATTGCAAACAGAAGCCCAATAAAAAATCTCATGATATTTTAGTAGGCTTATACATGTATTGTTATTTTTTCATCTCTAAATTCCTATTATTCCAATTTAACAATATTTTGTTATTCTCTCATTATGGCTGTCTAGAATCTGAATCCTGACATCCTTGGCCAAACAAGAATGGTGCTTGTGGAAGATTCTGAAACTATGACAGAAAATGTGTTTCTTGCTTGATGTGCTAAGACTGTTAATTCATATTTATATTGTTCTGCTCCTTATGAGTTGCTGTATCTTTACCTCACATTGCAGAGCAATGTCTTTAGCACATTCCCTTTTCTTTTTGTTTAGAATTTAGCTTAAGTGGATTCGATCACCTGAACTAAACCATACATGAGATTTTTGTTACTTGTTCAAGTATTTTTAGCTTGAACTTGCTTTTCTCTTGATGTGTTTTTTGAATTGTTTTTTGGGTTATATTTAATCACTGCCCTACTCCCGCACCTTTCTCTCTGGTGTTGTTTGTTAGATCTGAGACATGATGGTTTCCTTTTCTGGCAGATGAAGTATGAATATCAAATTGAACGTAATGAATTTAAGAAACTGGTTGGCTCTGGAAGTTACAGCACTGCAACTTGTGTTGCCACTGCTGGAACCACTTTAATTATCGGGTTTGTTTTATCTTTTTTTCTATTCTGTTATTATTACCATGTTTTCGGTCTTTTGATGGTTGAATTCTTTATTATTTATGTACTTTTGAATTTCTTCATTGATGGAGACTATCACTTGTGTTGGAAAGAAGCCAAAGGTAAAATGAAGTTCTATGACTTAATGGGAGTTTAGTACTCATACAATATCCACCCCCTAAAAAAAAAAAAAAAGTACTCATACAATAAAGGGTGCTAGTGAACAGCTCTATACCTTTTCTCTCATGGTTATTATTCATTCTTAATCTGTAAAACAACTGTATTTGTAACTTTGGATGTTCTTCAAAAATATTGAAAATTTGGGTGGACCACTGTTTTGCTTGCTTAGTGCAATGGGCATATTTTCATAATTTTTGTGCGACTTATGTCTAAATTGATTATGTTACCCAATGCACGCAGTGACGCGTTCTTCGTGGATGCTTCTTTGATTGAATTTGTAATGATAGCAGTTTTCCTTTCTAGGTTGTGTTTGTTTTTTGAGGATGGAAAAGGGGGGAATAGTTCAACATAAGGAGAATTAATACTAGGACAAGGAGTATTGGGACTAATTGTCCTTAATTTTATTGTGGGAATGGAAAAGGGGAGAGTAGTTCAACATAAGGAGAATTAATACTAGGACAAGGAGTATTGGGACTAATTGTCCTCAATTTTATGTTGGGATGAGGTGGAATACGGGGGAACTGCATTAAAAGGTAATCCAGTCCTATACTAAGTTTGGTTTAGGAATAGCATACATGGGTATGGGAACGGTTAAAGGCCTAGTAAACAAAAATGTTTCTAAACCATTTATGTAATTTCAATTATGTCCCTTCTATGTTGAATTACTGAAAAGATAAACTGTATGCTGGTCATTTTGAGCCTTATCCAAACCAAAGGCTGGCATAGTTCCTTTATCAATAATACCCCTTCCCATTGTGTTAAATAGTGCCGTCTACAGGAAGGACTACGGTTCGATTCCCCGCATCACCAATTGGGAGGGGCTTTGAGTCTAACCATCCAAAACTACGCCCCGAATCCGGATTAGTCCAAACCAAAGACTGGCATAGGTCCTTTATCAATAATACAAAAAAAAAAAAAAAAAAATAGTGCCGTCTACATAGTATTATTTGTCCAGGAGGACAATTAGTCTCAACCTTATTTAAGGGTCACCAAACTTAGGATAAGGGATGATATGGAACTAATGGTCCAATCCTAGCCCTTCTTACCCCGTACAAATGTGGTTCTAGTGTCAATCTGTGTACGCCCTCTATCTCACACGGTTAGTCCTTTCCCAATTTGGGGATGTCCCAAATTGTTAGTCTTCTCTGGAAAGTCCAAGCATAAAATTTTACAATTTTTGAAAATGGTCCCTCATAAGTGACTGAATATATTTAAGACAAGGAATAAAAGGGGAATCTGAGAAACCAAATGCCTTTTTATTTGAATTTGAATTTCTTTAGTTGTATGTGCCTTTGAAAAATTTGAACTCCCAGAAGGTGCTAACATTGTGGGATGGAGGGAGTACAATTGAGTGTTGATCTTTGTGGGTGTTGCATTGTGTGGTTTTATCTTATATTGTATCTTAAGACCTAGGATTTTTGTAATTTTACAGAAGAAGTTGCATTTGTTATAACAATTTGAATAGAAAATGATTTACATAACAAGTATATGGGGATGTTTGGGAAGTTTTTTTTGCTAAAAAAACACTAAAAGACAAAATTGGTTAAAAATAAAAAAAAAACAAATCCAGACAAAATGTCACATCAAATCTATAATCATTTCACTTTTTCTCTCACAAACATCACATCCAATTACAAAAAAATCCAACTATCTTCCTAAACACAAATTTTAACCTCCTAAAATAATCAAAAACTAAAAAAACCTACTAAAATAACAACTTCCTAAACACCCACTATATTATATGTGGACAGTAGAAATGTTTTATTTCTTTCCTTTTTATACCCAACACAACTCAATAAAGCCTTGTCCCTCCCAACTATTTGGGCTTGCTAGATGAATCTTGTTTGCCATTCTACTCGATCAAGGTCCATAATTTGTGTTAAATAACAAGTTAACACATCTTTCGTTACTATCTCAAGCTTAGCAGGAATCGTCTCAAATGGTGACGACTCTGAGGAAGAAGTGCAATTCTATGCTTCTAAGGAAAAATCACAGCAGAGTTGTGAATTTGAGGAGAGAAACGAGAATCTGATGCGAGAAGGAAGCACTCTTGAGAGGGCAAGGAGAGAACCTGGTTGCTGGTTTCGATCCTCTATTCGACGACTTCGATCTTGCTCCCTTTGACCTCCCCTTCGAATTTGACGAGCATGGTGTGGCCGCTTCGACTTCGACTTCGACTTCGACTTCGACTTCGACTTCGTCTTTGTCTTCGACGAGCACTACCATAGACGAGCTTCGATCTATTTTCACTGGCTTCGTCTTCGATCTATCTTCTCTGTCTCTCTCCCTGTTTTCTCTTCTCTTCTTTTCTCTCGGTTTTCTTTTCTTCTGTTCTCTCTAATTTATAATCTGTTCTCTCTTTCTCTCTCAAAAGATATTTAATTAATATATATGTCAATTATATTATATATATGTCATATATCAATAAAAATTACTATTTATAAAAAATAATAAACATATTTAAATAAAACATAAATGTTGTTTTATTAAATAAAATATAATAAATTTTATTCAAAGATAATGACTAGTGTTTAAAAAAATCTCACTCCACTACTTTTATTTGTTATTCATTTTTAAAAAATATTTTTTATGTTGTATTTAATTAATTAAATATTACATAAAAATAAAAAATTATAACATATATATGTTAATTAATTATTTTTTTAAAAATGTTTATATAGTCAAATTAAAAATATTTTAATAAGAATAATATATAAACGTTCCCAAATTATGACTCCTTTATATGGCCACGCTTTCCCGCTCCCGCTCTTGTTCAAGTTGTATTAAGTTTGTTTTTGTAGTACCTATATTGTGGACACTGTCACTATTTGTTGTTGTTATAGTTAGGGCTACAAACAAGCTGAACCCAGCCCAGCCGAGCTTTCAGATGTTCATGCTCGGCTAGGTCAAAATGAGGGAAGTTCGAGTTTAGCTTGAGCTAGAGTTGTGCTTCAGAAATTATGTTCGAGCTTGGCTCGTTGACTGATTTAAAAGCTTGAGCTCAGCTTGTCTTGGCTCGATAAGATAAACGAGCTCGAGCCGAACAAGCTAGAAATTCCAATTCACATCTATAACTCAAAAAATGAAATTCCAATTCATATATGGATAGTGATGTACATCGTTCTATCACTAATTCAATAAACTTTTCAATCACACTTTTTTTTCACACCCCCCCCCCCCGCTCCCAAAAATAAAATAAAATAAAAAATAAAAGATACAACTAGTAATAAAAAATCTGTGCATTACACAGCATAGCAAGCATTACATAGTGCATCCTTGAACAAAACATAATTACCAAAAACACAGTGCGTCTTTAAATAAAAACATTACATAGGACATTACACAGTACATCCTTAAATAAAACATAATAACGAAAAACTAAACTACTAATGTCTTGACTTGATTCACTTGAAAATACACCAAAAAGTCTTCATTTCTTTAGAACTTCGCATGAGCCTTCGCATTAACTGTATCCATGAGTGGACTAATTGCTTTGTTTTGGGTAATTTTCTCTCTCGGTTTCACTTATTTAATACAATGGTTGGTTCAATTTTCAATTTCTTAATTTATTATTATTCTAGTTCAATTTTATATTGATTGTTAATTTATTAGTGCATTAATTTATTTCTTGCATTATTGTTATTTTTCGTAGATATGTCAAATAGACAAATTAATCTCACTTCTCGAGAGCAGGATTCTTGTACACCGTTTTCGTCATTTGATATATATGCATGCACTCATTATGCAACTCAAAAAAACAGGGGACGATATATACTGAAAATTGAACCACCGTTGTATCAAATAAGTGAAATGAGAGAATATTACCCAAAACAAAGCATTAAAAATTGAGTTGTTAAAACACAAAATTAGTAAATCATCTTTATTGACAAATTAACCAAGACATAGATTTGAATATGGATATACATATATATATATATATATATATGTACATATATATATGCATGCACTCATTATGCAACTCAAAAATCATCTTCATAGATTGAAAAAATATCAAAACTATGAAATAAAATCATAAAAAAAAACAAAAAAGAGAATAGAGATTATATTTTTTCCCTAATTATATGTTCAAAACAGGGGACAAAAACCAATCCAAAAAAAAAAAAACAGGGGACAAATGTATACATGATTAAACTTTCACTCTAGCAAAGAAGACAAAATATATATAACAGTGTGTGTATTGGAAGGGGTAGTGAGAAATACCTGATTCTAAAAGGAGAGGAGAGAGAACATAATAACGAAAAACTAAACTACTAATGTCTTGACTTGATTCACTTGAAAATACACCAAAGAGTCTTCATTTCTTTGGAACTTTGCATGAGCCTTTGCATTAATTGTATCCATGAGTGGACTAGTTGCTTTGTTTTGGGTAATTTTCTCTCTCGGTTTCACTTATTTAATACAATGGTTGGTTCAATTTTCAATTTCTTAATTTATTATTATTCTAGTTCAATTTTATATTGATTGTTAATTTATTAGTGCATTAATTTATTTCTTGCATTATTGTTATTTTTCGTAGATATGTCAAATAGACAAATTAATCTCACTTCTCGAGAGCAGGATTCTTGTACACCGTTTTTGTCATTTGATATATATGCATGCACTCATTATGCCACTCAAAAAAACAGGGGACGATATATACTGAAAATTGAACCACCGTTGTATCAAATAAGTGAAATGAGAGAATATTACCCAAAAAAAAGCATTAAAAGTTGAGTTGTTAAAACACAAAATTAGTAAATCATCTTTATTGACAAATTAACCAAGACATAGATTTGAATATGGATATATATAGCTATGTACATATATATATATGCATGCACTCATTATGCAACTCAAAAATCATCTTCATAGATTGAAAAAATATCAAAACTATAAAATAAAATCATAAAAAAAAAAACAAAAAAGAGAATAGAGATTATATTTTTTCCCTAATTATATGTTCAAAACAGGGACAAAAACCAATCCAAAAAAAAAAAACAGGGGACAAATGTATACATGATTAAACTTTTACTCTAGCGAAGAAGACAAACAAAATATATATAACAGTGTGTGTATTGGAAGGGGTAGTGAGAAATACCTGATTCCAAAAGGAGAGGAGAGAGAAAGGGTCAATGGCGAAATAAGTGTACTGTGTGCATAAGAGCATGTGAGACGCCATGGGGGAGAGAGAGAGAGAGAGAGAGAGAGAGAGAGAGAGAGAGAGAGAAATAATTTACCACAATGGATTCAAGAGAAGAATAATCTCCTAGTCTCAGATCTTCATCGGAGCAACGAAACTATACCGTTGATGTTTTGAGTGTTTGAGAGTTGATGAGATTAATTCTTTGTGCAATTGGTTCAAACGTTGGCCAGATCTGGATTGTTGAGTGTAGAATGTTTGCAGCATTAATAGGATAGGAATGTGTAGGTTACAAAAAGTAGTGGCGTATGATATTTGCTACTTGTTTGTGTACAGAACACCCCACCAGAAAGAGTAAAAAAATGCCAGGCAACATCTCTATTGAAATAAAGTTAGCTTCCTTTTTTTGTACTACTACTGTTTGTTCTATAAAATTCTTAATTGGATGAGAGCGAGTGAAATGTGGAAAATAACAATAAGACTTGTCACCATGATAATCCATTTTACCCATACTTCTTGTTGAGGATGGTATGTTGGTTTAAAGATTGGGGGTCATTTTTTCATTCAATTGTCGATTCTTCACTTGCAAAACTAGGCTTTCTACATTGTAATTGGCCTTACAGCTTCTCCCTTTGCTTCTTGCTGAATTGTAGGTATGGATTGGGTTGGCGAGGTGGAAAATGGTACGCGAATAGGAAGTTCAGGAAGGAGCAAATGAAATTGTTAGGACAGATCAAACCTAAAAGGTGGCAACTCAAGTTCTTAAGAAGACCATTAATACGATCCAAATCATCCGAAAATGCTGTTAAACCGTCAGAGGTGTTCCAAAAGGATTTACCTGCTGCACATAATTCTGGAGAAATGAATCGACCTTGTTAGTAGCAGATATAAAATGCAACAGCACTTGTTGAGGAAAATATATTATTTATTGAGATTATACTCACTGGAGATTTTTGTTGTACTTATTACTTGGGAAGAAATATAATTTACCAGTTTTGTCTCCTGTTACATTTGTTTTTTTTCCTTTGAGATGGATCTCCTCAAATCTTACCTTTTTGCCTTCATTTTTCTTAAATGACTGGAAGAATGGAGACAATATATATCTACATTTTTTAGTTTTTCTTGAATGCCGTGGCACGGACTTGATTTTAGCAAGTGTTCTTGCTTGTTCCCTCTATTAAAAATGTTGTTGGTGTATTGATAATTGGACCATAGGCAAGGCATACATATTTCCTAATATATTTTCTTTGTTGGGAACACTTAAAAAATAAATATTTTTTTATTATGTTATTTGTCTTTTGTGATTTTTTTTTTAAAATTATGTCAATTTTTTTAAACTTTTCCGGTCTTTCTTGTGCAGATGAATATAAAAATTAATTTTTTTTTGAAAAATTCCAAAGAAAAGGAGAATTTCAAAAAGGCCGAGGGTAATTTTTTTTTTAAAATGATGACAGGAACTATTATTTTGTCTACACACTATTTTTTTGAAATTCTGCCCCCCAAAAAATGAAAAAGTGAAATAAGCAAAAAAAAAAAAAGATCACTATTTTTGGCTTATTTTTGTCTTTTTTTTTATAATTTAATTTAAATTATTTTATTTTATTTTTTTGTTCATCTAATCAAGCTGAATTTAGAAATTTAAACTTCTTTGAAAAATTTAAAAAAAAGTTCACTAAAGACGAAAATAAGTAAAAGAGAAAAGAATAGTCGCCAAATAAGCAAACTCCGAACAACATGCTTCAAAAGAAAGAAGGGTTTAAGTTTTATTAATTTTCTATCCTTGAGAAAAATAGATGTAACCTAAGTAATGGTTTGCTCCAAGATACTCCACTGTGACCTGGGCTAAATGTTCAAACCAAGAGTCTCTCCAAACCCTGCATGGGTAGGAGGTTCATGCACAGGGACTGCCCTTTAATGAATGTTTAGATCGTTGGAAGGAACAAGGGCCTCTCTGCAAAACATTGGTGAATATGTTCTGGACAAAAATTAGCATACATTAAGAAATGTGGCAACTAGAAAATCATGAATTTCGAGTGTGAGAAAAGGTATCTTTAGTTGCTAGATTTTTATAATTTGTTGGAGCTGCATCTTCAACTCTAACGAGGAGACAAAAGCAAGAGTCCCAAAAAATTATTTTCTATGATGCACATGTTTTGGCATACATATTAGCCAAATTGACCTGGTTACTCTATGCAATGAAAGTAAACTAAGAATTTCTAGTCAAAAGGTTAGGCCTATCAGATGCTTTGTCTAAGGCTTTAGTGCAGAGTATTTACACAAGAGGCTTGAGACTATCTCATTTCTATATACTGTGTATTGTTTGTATCTGCAATTCATCCACTATAAACTGTGGAGGGAAGGTGAGGGTTGTCACCACCAACAACCAAACATTAAAATGGCAAAAAGTTTAACTTCTATTGTTCTATTGATTCTGTTCTGTGGGTCAGCATTTGGTAGCAGAACAAAGTTGTTCACAACCAAAGTTGACGATGGCACATCTGCAGTGGCAGATGTTGGCATATGCAAATTGATGGTGGAGACACATGACTATGTTTGTGAAGAACATAAAGTAACCTGCATATACTATCCAGTTTACAAAACCACACGTTTATGTGATTGATATAATGTGATAGAAAATCACTCCTTTTTTTCTTTTTTTGCTTTTCAGGTGACAACACGGGATGGTTATATTCTCAGCATGCAGAGAATTCCAGTGGGCCGGTCAGGTGAGACACAAGGGAAACGGACTCCAGTCCTGCTACAGCACGGTCTTCTCATGGTCAGTACTCATTGTGGCTGCTTTTTTTAGGATTTAAATTGATAAAACTGAAACTTGTTAACAGCAAAGTCCACATTGTCTGCAGGATGGGATAACATGGCTGCTGAGTCCTCCAGATCAATCTTTGGCGTTGATCTTGGCAGATAATGGGTTCGATGTGTGGATTTCAAGCACCCGTGGAACTAACTTTAGCCGTGGGCATTTATCTCTCAGTCCTGATGACCCGGTTACTTTTCTTCCATCTTCTTGTTCTCTGTTTTGTCATTTGTGATTTTCTTTATTGCTTACCTTTATGTATATGTATATATATATTTTTTGTAGGCTTATTGGGATTGGTCGTGGGATGAATTGGTAGCTTATGATCTTCCAGCTACATTCCAGTATGTGCACGATCAAACAGGACAGAAACTGCACTATGTTGGGCATTCACTGGTGAACATGCTGTTTCTAGATACTAACAGAATCTGTTTCATCATCGTGTTCTTGGAATCAGTAAATTAGAATGCTGACTTTTTAGGTCAATTTCTTTCGTAGGGAACTTTGATTGCTCTTGCTTCCTTTTCAAAAGGGCGGCTGATTAACATGCTAAGATCTGCAGCCCTACTCAGCCCAATTGCTTATGTGGATCAGATGACTTCCCCGCTTGCAAGAACTGCCGCCGACAACTTCATCGCTGAAGTAAAGTCTATTTTTTGTGTGCACATTTTCAGATTTCAAGAGGAATGTTACTCTAACGGTCGTGTATTTATCTCTCTTTTGTTTTAACAGGCATTATATTGGTTGGGTCTTCATGAATTTAATCCAAGAGGGTAAGAAATCGTTCCCTCCTTTCCTATCTCAGTGTGCTGCATATGTATCAATGTAACTCTATTGCTACAACTACATTCACCAAAGCTCTCAATGTTTTACACTTGATCCAATAAGTGACTGAAATTTCTCGACTGTTTCTCAGTAAAAATAAATTTCGAAGAAAAAGATTTTTCACAATGGTTATTTTTGCCAAGTGAGCAGGGATGCTGTAATTGCACTTCTTAAAGCTATCTGCAACAAACCAGGTGTCGACTGCACTAACTTGTTGACCTCTTTCACAGGTAGACTATATATGTCCCGGGTTTTTGAATTAGCTTCTTGATATACAGAACTTTCAACTTTGCCTAGTGACCTAGCTTTGTTTCATCATTGCAGGTCAGAACTGCTGCTTAAATTCTTCAATAGTAGAAGTTTTTCTAGAGTACGAGCCTCAGCCAACATCGACAAAGAATATGGTCCATGTGGCTCAGAGTAAGTCTACATCTCCGTTCCACATGTTATCACTGCTAAAAAAAGACCGCGTTTTAAGGATAGTGCCAGCATTTAAGGTTGTTTCGACAGTTGCAATATAGGCATGCTGGTATTCAAGAAATCTGGTGTCCATATCACTGAACCTATGTTTATAGGGTTTAGGCTAGTTGAGGAGTTCCCATCAAGAGCAATATTATGCTTGTAATTTAAGTTTATTAATTCAAATTTCTAAACAACTAGTAGATCCCAAGTAAAGGATTTGAAGAATTCTTTGTTGGAAAATTGGTTCAAGGTCTAATTTTGGGATTTTTGGACAGTGATCAGAAGCGGAAACATCACTATGTATGACTATGATGATGAGGGGGAGAACATGAAACATTACGGTCAGCCCTCACCTCCAGTCTACGACATGACAAGCATTCCAAATGACCTTCCTCTGTTCCTCAGCCACGGAGGGCAAGACGCGCTTTCTGATGTCAATGATGTGAAGCACTTGCTGGGCAGCCTCAAAGACCACAACGGAGATAAGATTGTCGTTCAGTATGTACCGAATTATGCTCATGCAGACTATGTTATGGCTGTCAATGCTAAGCAAGTTGTTTATGATCCTCTCATGGCCTTTTTTAGGCTTCAGTGACAACAACAATCCGAAAATGAATTATAATGTGCTCTAGCTGAATTTTCTTTGTTTACGCAGAGATTCATATTCAATATGTAAAATGTTAATCAAGTTGAGTTTCAAAATGAATTACAGTTTTACAGTTTGAGTCGTATTCAATTGTTGACTTGGTGTTCTTGCAAGCTTGACAGTTTGAAAACGATGCCCTCTTAAATATTTCTTAAAATTTTAACCATTACTAGTAAATCTCACCAACATTGGGTAAATTTATCTACTTGAATCAATTAGCATTCGGTGATTTGAGTGATCCAAACAATCTTTTATTTTGTTCTTATCCATTGTTGTAGCTCTTGAGCATCTGCAAAAACAATAAATAAATAAATAACAGAACAGAACAGAGCTCATCTCTAGATTAGTTTTGTGACTAAGGTTTCCAATTGCTAGTAACTACAGAAGACATTATTTTGAAAGCATGTAAGGGAACAAAAAGTTAACATGGTTGTTTGTATTTGAAGAAGTCTAGGAACACATAAATCGATCTTAAAATTGGACACAATCCTCTCGCATAATGTGGGTCCTACCTTTTTGTGGATTGCACGCCCATGTGAGAAGGGTATGTGTGGTTTTGTGATTGATTTTTGTATTCCTAGAGCAACTCTACATGGGTGGTTCTAAATAAACCTGACACATTTTTCTTTACACCCGTGTATTGATACATTTGTACCTTATAAAGGAGATTATTGTACAGCAAATGTAGAACGAAATATTTTGAGTGTATTTAGCAGATCCCTTGTCATGTGGACTATTCTAAATTTGTATAGTATTTAGCAAAGATGGTGAAAACCGAGTCAACAGACTGAAATTTTTCAGTTGATCTTTCACAAGGCACGGTCTGTTTCAATTATGAAATTTAGCCTTCGCTTTCTTTATTTATTCTCTCGATGTGGATTTCAACTAGTTTTTTGAAAAATCTTAAAATCTTTTGTGAATTCCTCATTTGCGCTAAAAAAAAAAAGAGTAAACTTTATCATGCTGTCGGTTTTCATATCTCAAACAACAAAATCAAAAAATTCGATTCTGGACTAAATTTTCTCTCATATCCGTGCTAACAACCCATTTTAGCGGGAGTCTCGTGCACTGAGTAATCATTTTTTTACCCACACCGAACACCTGTACTAGTTGTATTTCTGTAGAAGATAGTAGTTTATTGTAGTCTCTAATTTTTATTTCACTTCTGAAGTTAATACTCTGCTTTGTCATCTTGTTGTTGAAGTATTGCTACCTGTGCGTGCACACACACAAAAATAAATAAATAAATAAAATGGTGGGATATGCATACAGATTCACACAAAAATTAATGTATGGTCCTCTAATTTTTCTATGCACTTTTTTGTACACATATGTCATGTTTTATTCACAAGATTAATTATGAAAGTATTAATAATCCCATCAAATTAGTGTAATATTCACTATCCAATTAGATTAGTATGATAAATTATCCTCTTATCCATAGTTTGATTTGCATGAGATAAGAAAACATATGAATGTAAGATTATAATTATATTTATTTTCTTTTCCAATCTTACGATCCATCAATGTTTCTTCACAATCTTTACTTTATCAAAATTTCTTCATAAATGTGATTTTGAAAAGAATTATAATAAAAGCAAAATAAAAATACAAAATGCAAAGGCCATGTTTGGTTTGTTTTTCAATTTTTTTTTATAATATAAACTAATTTGATAAAATAAATATCAAAAAATATTTTTAAATTTTAAAAAATTATTTTTAGCCTTCGAAAATATAAAATTATATAAAAATAATAAGTGTTTTAATTTTTAGTCAACGGACTGAAATTTTTCAGTTGATCTTTCACAAGGCACGGTCTGTTTCAATTATGAAATTTAGCCTTCGCCTTCTTTATTTATTCTCTCGATGTGGATTTCAACTAGTTTATAAAAAAATCTTAAAATCTCTCGTGAATTCCTCATTTATGCTAAACAAAAAAAATATAAAAAGTAAACTTTATCATCCGGTTGGTTTTCATTTCTCAAACAACAAAATCAAAAAATTTGATTCGGGACTAAATTTTCCCTCATGTCCGTGCCAACAACCCATTTTAGTGGGCGTCTCGTGCACTGAGTCATCATTTTTTTATCCGCACTGAACACCCTATACTTGGTGTATTTTTGTGGAAGATAGTAATTTATTGTAGTCTCCAATTTTTATTTCACTTCTGAAGTTAATACTCTGCTCTGTCATCTTCTTGTTGAAGTATTGCTACTTGTGCGTGCACACACAAAAATAAATAAATAAATAAAATGGTGGGATATGCATACAGATTCACACAAAAATTAATGTATGGTCCACTGATTTTTCTATGCCCTTTTTTGTACACATATAGCATTCTTGATATCATATTTCTGTTAATGCTAAGGGTGCTTTCAAACATATATAAAAAAAACAGTTGTTTTGTTTTTCAAAGTGCTTTCAAAATGTTTTAGCAAATGCCACTAGAATCATTTCTTTTTCCCAAATTTGTGGGTATAATTATATATTGAACTTTTGCTCAATCATGCCAACTCACATCTGGACAACAATGTCATCAATGAGGAAAAGGAGATCATTCCTAGTTCATTTTTCTTTTCCCTTTTGTTAATAAATCTAAGAACCAAACATACATTTATGTACTAGTTCTTGCTGTTCTTCGAACCATCCAAACCAATGTTCTTGTCACTCAAGTGTGAAACTAAGAATTTTAATGTTTAAAACATCGTGGCATCAACGAAATCACAAGATGGACAAAACATGGGACCCACTGGATAAAGGGGTAAAGCATACATATACTATAATTTGTTTTTTTGTGGATTTTTTTTTTTTTTTTTTTTCTAGTATTTATGCAGCAAGATTAGTGGGAACAACAACAGAAAAGGAAAAAGACAGTCAAAACACAATGGCTAATACTCTAACAATCACTTTAGTTTCGGTAATTCTGTTATGTCTATCCGCAGATGGAGCAAGAACAGTATCATACTCTAGCAACGGTCAAGGTGGCAGGTCTCTATCATCCTTGGTTGCTAATGATGGTATCTGCAAATCAATGGTGGACACACAAGGCTATGTTTGTGAAGAACACACTGTATGAAACTCATCATCAGCCTATCTGTTTCGGCCGAAAACATTTCTTACAAAAAATATATGTGATTTTGAAACTAATGTGCGAATGGTTGTATAGTAGTGGTGGGTCCGGTGGCGATAGTGGTAGGGAAGGGGTGGAGTCATGGCGGTGGTAGTGTGTGGCGTTGATAAGAATTTAGTCTGAAAAACGTTTTAAAAATAAAAGGAAATGTTTCTTGCCCTAGTTTGTTTTCATAACTACGAAAATATTTTCTATCAACTATCGTTTTCTGCTTACGTACACTTAAAATATAGGAAAGTTTTCGTCAAAGCAAACGGCGCATAGATTTACAATGTTCTCTGAATTACGGCATTTACTCATAGACTACATGACTTTGGATGAGTTTCAGGTGACAACAAAAGATGGTTATATTCTTAGCTTACAGAGGATTCCAGCAGGGCGGTCTGGCAAGAAATCAAACAAACCACCTGTTCTTTTGCAGCATGGGATCTTGATAGTAACTACATTTCACACACAGCAATTTATTCAACTTGTTTGCAAATCAAATTGACAGAGAAATGAGTGAAGAAATTAACATTAATTTGTGGTGGTGTTTGTGGCAATGCAGGATGCTGCAGCATGGCTGTTGAACTCTCCAGATGAATCATTGGCATTCATATTGGCCGATGAGGGGTTTGATGTTTGGCTCGCCAACACTCGCGGGACTCAATATAGCAGTGGACACACATCACTTAGTCCCAACGATCCGGTTCCTCTTCATTAATTTGAATGATTGTCTTAAGTATGTAATATATTTACGACACCTCTTAAACATTTTTGTGATATCCTTTTGCATTGCAGGCTTACTGGGATTGGTCGTGGGACGAATTATCGGCTTATGATCTTCCTGCATTTTTCGAGTATGTTCATGATCAGACAGGGCAGGACCTGCACTATGTTGGGCACTCCTTGGTAAGTCTCCATGTTTTTTGCGATTACTTGTTTTCATTGGTGGAGTTAGGATTTTGGCTCACGACAGCAAGATTGAGTTTTTACGATTAACGATCAGCATGATTTCACAATTCTATGATAGATATATGCTCGAGTTAATGACTCACTTTTTTTTGTTATTAATTTGATTTTTTGTTTAATTTTTGAACGTGATAATCGTCATAATTTAAAATACTATTACATGCCTCTATGAAAGACGAGGATGAAATTAAATTACAATGCAAACACACACAAAAGGAGAATTAGAGAGAGAAATGAGAGGAGAGAAAAATAACACAAAATTAATCAGAGAAGATTTTAGCAAAATTAAACACTTAAAGTGGCAAATTGCAAAGGTTTACGCACCAAGTTTTATGATTTTGTTTGAGATAAAGAAGCTACTTGACTTTTCTCTTTCATTCTACTTCATAGGGAACTTTAATGGCTCTTGCAACATTTTCCCAAGAAAATTTATTGAACATGTTAAGGTCAGCTGCTATGCTATGCCCCATTGCTTACTTGGGTCAGATACCGACCGAACTTGCTAGAGCTGCTGCTGATTCTTTTCTCGCTGAAGTAACGCAAAATTCTTGCTTTATTTTGAATTCGAAGAAATTGAAGTAAAGTTTGCTCATCATATTATTTCTTAATCTCTCTGTTTGTTTGTTTGTTTTTTTTTCTTTTTTGCAGGACTTGTACTGGTTGGGTCTCCATGAATTTCTTCCAGGAGGGTGAGAAATGACAACATTATTTTAACTATTAACATATTCGAAAATTTTCTAGGTTGAACAACTAAAATAATATGACCATGATTAAAGCGCCTTAAATTTAAAAATTTTGGAAAAATGCATTTGGTTAATTTAATGAACAAGTACAACTTCAAATTTGTTTAATTTCAATATCTTCTTGATACTTTCAAAAGAAACACAAAGACGTTGAGTGTCACAAAAATCGATCTAATTTCTTTAAGAGTGAACAGGGAAGCTGTTGCCAATCTTGTGGGTGAAATCTGCAACAAAACGCACAGTAATTGTTCCGACTTAATGGTTGCTTTGACTGGTAAATATCGATCTTCTGGACTAATTCCTCATTAGCGTCTAGACTTGGAAAACACAATTCTCTCTGCTTCTATGTTCTAACTAAGCTTTTGAAATTTGTTAAAAACAGGCCAGGCTTGCTGCGTGAATTCTTCCACGATAGATGTTTTTCTTCAGCATGCATTGCAGCCAACAGCCACGAGGAACCTCATCCATCTAGCTCAGAGTAAGTTTCTTTACGATCACCTGAAATGAATGAACCATTTAAGCTACCAAAACATCCTTGGCAATAAAATTTTCCTTAGAAAAAGCAAGTAGTTCTATGATCGTAATAAATTTAGATTTCCAAGATTAATTTTGGTTGATCAACTTAGTTTCGAATTAGGCCAGGATCCTCTATTCCCAAATTTTTCTCCCCCAATAAATTGCCAAAACACTAGAGTTTAGAGTGATCATGTATAATTGGAGTGCATTAAAACGAAGGATAAGAGATTTTGAAGACAGAAGATCCCGTGAAGTTGAGAAGGGAGAAACTTGGAAGTTTATTTTCTTTTTATTGGTCATAATTCTTGAAAAATACTATCATCTGTCTAAAAATCTATCATTAAGATCAATGAGAGTAAGAAAATTGCATGAAAATATGTTAAAAATTACCATAGTATTCACAATTTAAAAAAATATATATTTTCTTCACCTTAATGACAATGCATTGAGTTGTCATTAGGCCGATCCATGATTCTTTTAAACCTATACTTTTGTGGGTTTGTGGATCTTGTGTAGTGATTCGAAAAGGGACCATAGCCATGTATGATTACGGAAATGAAGATGACAACAACAAACACTACGGGCAGCGAACTCCTCCAGCATACGACATGGCAAGCATCCCAAAGGACCTGCCTCTTTTCATGGGGTATGGAGGGCAGGACTTGCTTGCAGATGTGAAGGATGTGCAGACACTGCTAGACACTCTCAAAAACCACGACGCCGATAAGCTTGTAACAGTCTTCAGGGAAGAGTATGCACATGCTGACTTTGTTTTCGGTGTAAATGCAAACCAAGTTGTTTATGATCCTCTCATGGCCTTCTTCAAGCTCCACTGACAACATCTATGCAACCTAAAATGGAAAATGTTATTACTAGTTCTGTTTTGTGAAATATGAATAGAACCACTTTTTCTTTTATTCAACAGTTGTTTTCTGGCTAGCTTGTAATTTAAAGAGAGACAAAAAAGATGATCATTTAACTAAATACTGTTAATGTATCATATTAATGTATCATAATAATGTATATATTATATATATTAATGTGTCATATATTAATAGCTATAGGATGACAGAGCATAGGAGCATAGGATTCTTATTATATATTCGGTTGCCTTCGCTTTCGGCTGCTTTCTATTATTATATGTTTTACTTTCATAATGATGCTGTATAAGCAGCTCCTATATATGGAGTCTCTTCTTACACTTTCAGATATATTGAATACAAGAGTTTTCTTACTCTCTCAATATCACTCTCTTATTTCTTTCATGGTATCAGAGCACAGGTGTATTGCCTAGTCTCTTCCTCCGCTGCATCACATTTTTATTTTGAGCAGATTGTTGCATATCTCGTCCTTATCTAAATTACAGATTGGACCACACTAGAACCTTCGTCTCCTCATGACGAATCCAACGCCACCAGATTCATCCTCATCCGACGTTCCACGCGCCGCCAGAACTTTCATCCACGCGCTTCCTCATTCTCAGACGCGCCTCAACACTTGTCCCGTGCTATCGTACGCCGCAGCCTCATCTGCTAACGTGAGCCGCGTGTTTTTGACGTCAGCTAATGTCAGCCCTGGCTGCTTCCGTGAGCCACTTGTTTCCTCTGCTATCGTACACCGCACCTATCTATGCTGACGTGCGCCGCGCCTGTGACATCACCATCTGCAGCAGTGACGTCATATTTGACCAGAATTGTTGACCAACTTTGACAAGCCAATTTAGTGCCTTCTGGTCATCTTTTTTTTGGTACGTTCACTCATTTCCCACTGATTTCGACCCTCTGAATTCACTGGTAACCTCGGATTTTTAAGATTCGGCCTTGATAGTATTGCTTTTTCCTCATGGATCGCCTGGACTCCTCCAACCACCCTATTTTCGTTGTTCTTGATGGAACTAACTATGTCTTATGGGCACAAGCTATGTCTGGGTTCCTCAAAGGAAAGAAACTTTGGAGCATCATCACTGGAGATGTGTGCAAACCCATCCTAACCACCACAGAATCCGCTGCCACCACGGACTCCGCTGCCAAATATGTCGACCGTCTGGAGGATTGGGATAGCAAAAACTATCAGATCATCACTTGGCTTCGTAATACTTCTATTACTTCTATCAGCCTTCAGTTTGGTCGGTTCCAACTTGACTCTGCTTCCTCTCCAGCCAAAGCCATCTGGGATTTTTTACAAGAACGCTATCAGACTACTGGCCTTGCTCACCAATATCAGCTTCTGAGTCATCTTCACCGTATGCGCCAAGACACAACTCAAACCATTAATGATTTCCTCTCACAAATGTATTATGTTTGGGATCAACTCGCTCTCTCTGAACCTCCATGGGATTGTACTAAGGATGCTGCCTTGTTTACTACTTACCGTGACCAACAACGCTTGGTTCAGTTTCTCATGGCTCTCACTCCCCGTTTTGAGCCAGTCCGCGCATCTCTCCTTCATCGCACTCCTTTACCCACTCTTGAGCAAGCAATTCCTGAACTACTGTCAGAGGAAACCAGGTTTGGTACTCTCCATCCGCACCCTGTGGACTCTGTTCTTACTACTCCCCAGATTCGAAGTTCTCCTTCACCATCTTCCCCACAGAAGACAACTATCTGCAACTACTGTCAAAACCGCAGTCTTCCGTCGACTCATCTTCTGGTTAATTGTCCAGTTCGTCTTTTTCGGTTTTGCAACAAGACTGGTCCTGGTCATCTCCAGCACGATTGCTTCCGCAACCCTGCCCGTGCCTCTCGCAATGGTTCCTCCCCCGGGCATTTTTCCCGCAACAACTCTCACCGTTCTGGGACTCCGTTTAAACCAATGCCTGTTCAACGCACTGTTGCTGCTGCTGCTGCCTCAGAGGATTTACCTGCCTCTGTCCCTATAGATCCCTCCACTCTAGTCTTCTCTCACACAGATGTCGAAGCCATGTTTCACCATTTTTGACAGAATTCCGGTACTCCTCCATCTACTGCTTTGTCTGTCACCGCAGGTAACACTTCCTGGTACTTTGACTCCGCTTGTTGTAATCACATGACCTTTGACCCTATTATTTTTACTCCTCTCTCTTCTACTTCTCCTGTCCCTTCTATCCATACTGCTGATGGGTCTCCTCTGTCTGTAAGTCATGTTGGTTCTGTTTCCACCTCTCACTTATCTTTATCTCATGTCTATCTTATGCCTGCTCTCATTTTAAATCTCATATCCATTAGTAAATTATGTGAGCATGGTCTAACTGTTACCTTTTCCCATATTGGTTGTTTGGTGCAGGACCCTCGGATGGGGCAAACTCTTGGGATAGGCCGTAAGCATGGACGTTTCTACGAACTTATCCATCTTCATGTTCCGAATTCCTCTCAGATCACAGCTCCTACCACTGCTACCACTGCTCCTCCTTTATCTCTTTTTCAGCTTTGGCACTGTCGTTTAGGCCATATTTCTGCTAGTCGTTTAAAATCTTTAATTTCTAGTGGTCATTTAGGTCCTGTAAGTTCTGATGCTTTAGATTGTGTGTCCTGTCAACTTGCCAAACAACCTGCTTTGTCGTTTAATAAAAGTGACTCTGTTTCTCTTGCACCATTTGATCTCATCCATTCTGATATTTGAGGACCCTCTCCTACTCCCACTATGGGCGGCGCCCGCTATTTTGTTGTTTTTGTAGATGATTTTTCTCGTTTTACATGGTTGTTTCTTATGAAAAATTGATCTGAGCTCAAACAACTTTATTACAATTTTGCTGCAATGGTTAAAACATAATTTTCTAAAACTATTAAGCTTTTCCATTCCGACAATGCCATGGAATATAAAGATTTTGACTTTCTTTCCTTCCTTCAGAGTCATGGTACTCAACCTTATCGATCCTGTCCCGGCACGTCTCAACAAAATGGACGTGCTGAACGAAAACATCGGCATATTCTCGACACTACTCACGCTCTTCTTTTGTCTTCCTCTTGTCCGGAACATTTTTGGGGCGAAGCAGCTCTCACTGCTGCTTACACTATCAATTGTATCCCTACACCTGTCATTCATAATCACACTCCTTATGAGCGTTTGCATGGCATCCGTCCCCCTTACACTAACCTTAGAGTCTTTGGCTCTGCCTGTTTTGTTTTTCTCCAACCTCATGAACGTACCAAACTTGAACCTCGTTCCCGCCTTTGTTGCTTCTTGGGATATGGTATTGAACATAAGGGGTATCGTTGTTGGGATGCTCTCTCCCAATGACTTCGTATCTCTCGTCATGTGGTCTTTTGGGAACGCAAATGTTTTCCTCTCTCTCTCCTTTCCGTTTGTCCGTTCCCTCACATTCTCTTTTTTTTACTGACCCTTCCACAGATCTGTTTTCTGATGACCTTACTCCACTACCCTTGCCAGCCTCTCTCGAGTTTTCTGATACGCTTACTCCACCGCCCCTGCCAACCTCTCTCGGGATCGCCTTGCCTACCGATTTGTCCTATGCACATGCTCCCTCTGATGGTCCTGCTCTTGCTCCATTGGGATCCTCCCCTTCTGCTGAGTCTCTTTCTCTAGCTCCTCCTCCCTCTGCTCGACCACATCGAGTAACCCAACCTTCTATTCGTCTTCGTGACTTTATTGTTGGTTCTACTGCTTTTTCTACTTATGAACCGACCTCCTATTGTGAGGCTCGCTCTAATCCTCTTTGGCAGCAAGCTATGACTGATGAATTGCAGGCTTTAGACAAAACTCATACTTGGGACATTGTTGATCTTCCTCCTGGCAAGACTGCCATTGGCTGCAAATGGGTATACAAAATCAAGACTTGTTCTGATGGATCTATTGAGCGCTACAAAGCCCGCCTTGTTGCAAAAGGCTTCAATCAAGAATATGGTATTGATTATGAGGAGACCTTTGCTCTTGTTGCTCGTCTCACCTCTGTTCGCAGCTTGATTTTTGTTGCTACCACCCGACAATGGGATCTTTATCAACTGGACGTGAAAAATGCTTTTCTTAATGGTGTTCTTCTCGAGGAGGTCTACATGCAACCTCCCCCTAGGTCTGCTTATCCCCCGCATCAAGTCTGCAAACTTCAGCGTGCTTTATATGGTCTCAAACAAGCTCCACGCGCTTGGTTTGCCAAGTTCAGCTCCACTATTCAGAAATGTGGTTTCACCTCCTGCTCTTATGATACTGCTCTTTTTATTGAAAAACAGCTCAAGAGACCACCCTGCTTTTACTTTATGTGGATGACATGATTATCACCGGTGATGATATCGATGGTATTCTTCGCCTTAAACAGTTTCTTAGCCATCATTTCGAGATGAAAGACCTTGGTCCTCTCAGCTATTTCTTGGGTCTTGAAATCTTCCATGATTCTACAGGTTCTTTTCTCTCTCAGGTTAAGTATACCTCTGATTTTCTCACACGTGCTGGTCTTACGGATTGCAAGACTGCCTCTACTCCCCTAGAACCTCAGAGTCGTCTTACACCTCTTGATGGCACTCTTCTCTCTGATGCTACACTATATCGTCAGCTGGTTGGCAGTCTTGTCTATCTCACTGTTACTCGTCTTGATATTGCCTATGCTATTCATATTGTTAGCCAGTTTATGTCAGCTCCTCGTACCCCTCATTATGCTGCCTTGGTTCGTATCCTTCGGTATCTCAAAGGCACCCTGTTTCATGGTCTTCATTATTCCGCCCGCTCATCTCTCCAGTTTCGTGCTTTCTCCGATGCTGATTGGGCTAGAGATCCTACTGACCGGCGCTCTACTACTGGGTTCTGCTTTTTTCTGGGTGATTCTCTTATTTCTTGGCGCAGCAAGAAACAATCTCTTATTGCTCGTTCCAGTACCGAGGCCGAATACCGTGCTCTTGCTGATACTACTCAAGAACTTCTCTGGCTTCGTTGGCTTCTTGCTGACATGGGTGTTACCCCCTCTGGTGCTACTGACCTCTTTTGTGACAATCACAGTGCTTTTCAAATTGCTCACAATGATGTTTTTTATGATCGCACCAAGCACATTGAGATTG